CCTCTAGCCTCTACAGCCTGCGTCCTCTAGCCTCTACAGCCTGTGTCCTCTAGTCTCTACAGCCTGCGTCCTCTAGCCTCTACAGCCTGTGTCCTCTAGCCTCTACAGCCTGCGTCCTCTAGCCTCTACAGTCTGTGTCCTCTAGTCTCTACAGCCTGCGTCCTCTAGCCTCTACAGCCTGCGTCCTCTAGCCTCTACAGCCTGCGTCCTCTAGCCTCTACAGTCTGTGTCCTCTAGTCTCTACAGCCTGCGTCCTCTAGCCTCTACAGCCTGTGTCCTCTAGTCTCTACAGCCTGCGTCCTCTAGTCTCTACAGCCTGTGTCCTCTAGTCTCTACAGCCTGTGTCCTCTAGTCTCTACAGCCTGTGTCCTCTAGCCTCTACAGCCTGCGTCCTCTAGTCTCTACAGCCTGCGTCCTCTAGCCTCTACAGCCTGTGTCCTCTAGTCTCTACAGCCTGCGTCCTCTAGCCTCTACAGCCTGCGTCCTCTAGTCTCTACAGCCTGCGTCCTCTAGTCTCTACAGCCTGTGTCCTCTAGTCTCTACAGCCTGTGTCCTCTAGTCTCTACAGCCTGTGTCCTCTAGTCTCTACAGCCTGTGTCCTCTAGTCTCTACAGCCTGCGTCCTCTAGCCTCTACAGCCTGCGTCCTCTAGCCTCTACAGCCTGTGTCCTCTAGTCTCTACAGCCTGTGTCCTCTAGCCTCTACAGCCTGTGTCCTCTAGCCTCTACAGCCTGTGTCCTCTAGCCTCTACAGCCTGCGTCCTCTAGTCTCTACAGCCTGTGTCCTCTAGTCTCTACAGCCTGTGTCCTCTAGCCTCTACAGCCTGTGTCCTCTAGTCTCTACAGCCTGTGTCCTCTAGTCTCTACAGCCTGTGTCCTCTAGTCTCTACAGCCTGTGTCCTCTAGCCTCTACAGCCTGCGTCCTCTAGCCTCTACAGCCTGTGTCCTCTGCCTCTACAGCCTGCGTCCTCTAGTCTCTACAGCCTGCGTCCTCTAGCCTCTACAGCCTGCGTCCTCTAGCCTCTACAGCCTGTGTCCTCTAGTCTCTACAGCCTGTGTCCTCTAGTCTCTACAGCCTGCGTCCTCTAGCCTCTACAGCCTGTGTCCTCTAGTCTCTACAGCCTGTGTCCTCTAGTCTCTACAGTCTGTGTCCTCTAGTCTCTACAGCCTGTGTCCTCTAGTCTCTACAGTCTGTGTCCTCTAGTCTCTACAGCCTGTGTCCTCTAGTCTCTACAGCCTGTGTCCTCTAGCCTCTACAGCCTGTGTCCTCTAGCCTCTACAGCCTGCGTCCTCTAGTCTCTACAGCCTGCGTCCTCTAGCCTCTACAGCCTGCGTCCTCTAGTCTCTACAGCCTGCGTCCTCTAGTCTCTACAGCCTGTGTCCTCTAGTCTCTACAGCCTGTGTCCTCTAGCCTCTACAGCCTGCGTCCTCTAGTCTCTACAGCCTGCGTCCTCTAGCCTCTACAGCCTGCGTCCTCTAGCCTCTACAGTCTGTGTCCTCTAGTCTCTACAGCCTGTGTCCTCTAGTCTCTACAGCCTGTGTCCTCTAGTCTCTACAGCCTGTGTCCTCTAGTATCTACAGCCTGTGTCCTCTAGTCTCTACAGCCTGTGTCCTCTAGTCTCTACAGCCTGTGTCCTCTAGTCTCTACAGCCTGTGTCCTCTAGTCTCTACAGCCTGTGTCCTCTAGTCTCTACAGCCTGCGTCCTCTAGTCTCTACAGCCTGTGTCCTCTAGTCTCTACAGCCTGTGTCCTCTAGTCTCTACAGCCTGTGTCCTCTAGTCTCTACAGCCTGTGTCCTCTAGTCTCTACAGCCTGTGTCCTCTAGCCTCTACAGCCTGTGTCCTCTAGCCTCTACAGCCTGTGTCCTCTAGCCTCTACAGCCTGCGTCCTCTAGTCTCTACAGTCTGTGTCCTCTAGTCTCTACAGCCTGTGTCCTCTAGTCTCTACAGCCTGTGTCCTCTAGTCTCTACAGCCTGTGTCCTCTAGCCTCTACAGCCTGTGTCCTCTAGTCTCTACAGCCTGTGTCCTCTAGCCTCTACAGCCTGTGTCCTCTAGCCTCTACAGCCTGTGTCCTCTAGTCTCTACAGCCTGCGTCCTCTAGCCTCTACAGCCTGTGTCCTCTAGTCTCTACAGCCTGTGTCCTCTAGTCTCTACAGCCTGCGTCCTCTAGTCTCTACAGCCTGTGTCCTCTAGTCTCTACAGCCTGTGTCCTCTAGTCTCTACAGCCTGTGTCCTCTAGTCTCTACAGCCTGTGTCCTCTAGCCTCTACAGCCTGTGTCCTCTAGCCTCTACAGCCTGCGTCCTCTAGTCTCTACAGCCTGTGTCCTCTAGCCTCTACAGCCTGTGTCCTCTAGTCTCTACAGCCTGTGTCCTCTAGCCTCTACAGCCTGTGTCCTCTAGTCTCTACAGCCTGTGTCCTCTAGTCTCTACAGCCTGTGTCCTCTAGTCTCTACAGCCTGTGTCCTCTAGTCTCTACAGCCTGTGTCCTCTAGTCTCTACAGCCTGTGTCCTCTAGTCTCTACAGCCTGTGTCCTCTAGTCTCTACAGCCTGTGTCCTCTAGTCTCTACAGCCTGTGTCCTCTAGTCTCTACAGCCTGCGTCCTCTAGTCTCTACAGCCTGTGTCCTCTAGTCTCTACAGCCTGTGTCCTCTAGCCTCTACAGCCTGTGTCCTCTAGTCTCTACAGCCTGCGTCCTCTAGTCTCTACAGCCTGTGTCCTCTAGTCTCTACAGCCTGCGTCCTCTAGCCTCTACAGCCTGTGTCCTCTAGTCTCTACAGCCTGTGTCCTCTAGCCTCTACAGCCTGTGTCCTCTAGCCTCTACAGCCTGTGTCCTCTAGTCTCTACAGCCTGTGTCCTCTAGTCTCTACAGCCTGTGTCCTCTAGTCTCTACAGCCTGTGTCCTCTAGTCTCTACAGCCTGTGTCCTCTAGCCTCTACAGCCTGTGTCCTCTAGTCTCTACAGCCTGCGTCCTCTAGCCTCTACAGCCTGTGTCCTCTAGCCTCTACAGCCTGTGTCCTCTAGTCTCTACAGCCTGCGTCCTCTAGCCTCTACAGCCTGTGTCCTCTAGCCTCTACAGCCTGTGTCCTCTAGTCTCTACAGCCTGCGTCCTCTAGTCTCTACAGCCTGCGTCCTCTAGTCTCTACAGCCTGTGTCCTCTAGTCTCTACAGCCTGTGTCCTCTAGTCTCTACAGCCTGTGTCCTCTAGTCTCTACAGCCTGTGTCCTCTAGTCTCTACAGTCTGTGTCCTCTAGTCTCTACAGCCTGCGTCCTCTAGCCTCTACAGCCTGTGTCCTCTAGTCTCTACAGTCTGTGTCCTCTAGTCTCTACAGCCTGCGTCCTCTAGTCTCTACAGCCTGTGTCCTCTAGCCTCTACAGCCTGTGTCCTCTAGTCTCTACAGCCTGCGTCCTCTAGCCTCTACAGCCTGCGTCCTCTAGTCTCTACAGTCTGTGTCCTCTAGTCTCTACAGCCTGCGTCCTCTAGTCTCTACAGCCTGTGTCCTCTAGCCTCTACAGCCTGTGTCCTCTAGTCTCTACAGCCTGCGTCCTCTAGTCTCTACAGCCTGTGTCCTCTAGCCTCTACAGCCTGTGTCCTCTAGTCTCTACAGCCTGCGTCCTCTAGCCTCTACAGCCTGTGTCCTCTAGTCTCTACAGCCTGTGTCCTCTAGCCTCTACAGCCTGTGTCCTCTAGTCTCTACAGCCTGCGTCCTCTAGTCTCTACAGCCTGCGTCCTCTAGTCTCTACAGCCTGTGTCCTCTAGTCTCTACAGCCTGTGTCCTCTAGTCTCTACAGCCTGCGTCCTCTAGCCTCTACAGCCTGTGTCCTCTAAGCCTCTACAGCCTGTGTCCTCTAGTCTCTACAGCCTGTGTCCTCTAGTCTCTACAGCCTGTGTCCTCTAGTCTCTACAGCCTGCGTCCTCTAGCCTCTACAGCCTGTGTCCTCTAGCCTCTACAGCCTGTGTCCTCTAGTCTCTACAGCCTGTGTCCTCTAGTCTCTACAGCCTGTGTCCTCTAGTCTCTACAGCCTGTGTCCTCTAGCCTCTACAGCCTGCGTCCTCTAGTCTCTACAGCCTGTGTCCTCTAGTCTCTACAGCCTGTGTCCTCTAGTCTCTACAGCCTGTGTCCTCTAGTCTCTACAGCCTGTGTCCTCTAGTCTCTACAGCGCTGCTTAACACCAGGGCTTCGACTTCAAAATTCGAATACAATTCTAAAATAAAGAATATATACATATTTGAACAAATATTAGACAACCCTTGTAATTCGAAATGTATTTAATGACTGCAAATAAAATAGTTAGCTCCCAAAGGTTTCACCGGGACGTGCTAGGCAGGTAACAGCTAAGCTAGCTAGCTGTTTCATGGTAACTTCCCGGTTTTTTGCGATCGCTTTTTGTCACTTTAAAACAGTATTTTTGTCATGAAAAGGTTGACAGCAAATTCTGAAATCGTCCGTGCATGTGTGTTGAAGTCAATAATTCCCTTTGACTGACGTATCCAAAGTCGATGCAAGAGCGAGACAAGAGATCTTCACGTTTAACATCTGCATTTAATTATCTTTACAATCAGATACAGAATGTTCAACAAA